TGGCCCCGGAGCGCATTGCGCCTCGTTTCCTGCCTTGGGAACCTTTCGAAGGCGAGCGTGCCTGTGTGCGGGTGACCCCTGCCTCCGTCCCTGAAGTTTGTCTGGGAGCTCTCCTTAACTTCGGTGCTCCTTGGGGATGCTTGCGCTGAGAGAGTGCGGGTCATTCCCCTTAGCTCCCGAGGCTCCTCCGCAGGAAACTCTGGTCCCTCGCTGAGACCCTCTGTTACATACTTTCCCTCTCCTGTCTGACTTGGTCTGAAGATAAAAGTCGAAGAGTCCCTTGCCATTTTCTGTTTGCGACTCACCTTTCTCTTTGTTGGTCGTTGTTTTTGTGTACGTGAATGCTCGGATTTCTCATTTTTCTCTCAAGTTTTAGCTACCCTATGAAGACGTTGGGTTTTCTGCCAAGCTGGTTTCTCCTTAGAGGGGTATAATATTTTCGTTTCACTGCAGAGATGCATACATTTTGTGGTGGCTTAATGAAATCAGTAAAAGCTGGCTAGGGGCTCACACACTCTGTCTGTGCAAATCTACAGGGGGAGAATGCATTTACAGCAGATTTTCATCCTCCCATGTAAACCCTTGCCTTTATTTGAGGAGGAGGCATAAGAGGGTTGTAAGTGCCCATACAGGCCTGGAGGAAGCTGAAGTAATTACAGTTTGTGTAGTTCCCCCCTGACCCTGGAGTTAAAGACAAAAAGTGCATCCCTCTTCCCTGGCCCTTGCCCAGGCACGCCAGTGTGGGAGCTGGGCACAGCTGGCAGCTGTGGCCCCAGGACTTTCCAGGAGCAGGAGGTGGCCTTGCTTGTGTGTGTGTGCGATGCTTGCTTCCCTTGTTTTTCAAGGTTTTCACAACTTGTGGTGTCTTTCCCTTTTGTTCAGCCTGAGTGTGAGCCCTATTTCTGTCACAAAGCTATCTGCGTACTTAGGAAACGTACAGAAGTTTAAAATTTTGGGGGTTACAGTTGTGTGAAAACACACATGAAAATGAATGTGTGAGGGAGAATTGGCATTAAAGATACCCATGTTTCTTAGTATGTACTCCTTCCTGTCAGATCAGAGGTAGCTGCTAAAATTATTCAAAAACTGCCATATAAATTTTCAGAAAAAAAGAAGTTCCCTCCAGGTTACCACACATTGTTTGACACAATTTAAAATGCACTAGAATTAATGGATGTTTTAATATTATATGAAAAAAAAGTTTGTTTAGTCATAAATGTGTGTTCTTAACAAAAGCTTTAAAATATAGCTGTAATGTACTTCTGCCAGGTCATTTAGTGATCTCTCTATGTCTTTGTTATCGGTGAGACTTCTTGTACAGTATGGTGCTGCTCACTTTTGCTGTTGGAATATTGTTTCTCTTCACAGCCTGTCATCACGTTCATTACTGTATGAAGCAGAAAATGTCCCCCCTGAGTGTGTTACTGGTATCTGCTGCACTATTGATCTTATACTTGACTTTTTCCTCAAGTAGGGATTCATGACATTTGGTTATTTTTGACTGGCCATATGAGCAAGCAAAGTCAGTTTTCCATGGGATATTTTACTTCCAGAACTACTAGTAATTCAAAACTATGAATGTGAGAGGTGGCCCATTATATGATTGTGAGTGATGCTGCTGGTAAATCCCAGACATTCCAAAATGGACTATGTGCAGTTCCACATTATATAATAAACTTTAAACCAGCTGTGTGCTCTCATAGCAAAGTTTACTAGGCAATCATCACAAAGCATGCCCTACTTTAAATAGACAGTGATGTCCCTTTAAACTGTAAGCAAGTAATGAAACATGCATGGTATGTGCAATGCAGGGTTTCTTAAACAGTGTGATCTACTGATATGGAATATGCTTGAAGGCAGTAACTTTATTTGATGAAGCATCTTCAGAAGAAGAGATAGTCTTATTGTATTGGTCTGGTTGGTCATCAAGGCAAGGTAATTCAGAGTGAAGGCTGACACTGGCAGCTGCAAGTTGCTGTCACACTATGACAGCTGTTTCATTTACATCAGAGAGGATTTGCAGTGATTCTAGAAGATACAAAGTAACCCAAATTTATTTCACTGTTATGTACACAGTGAAGAGTTACCTGGAGAAAATTTTGCTTTTATGTGTTAGTTTATGTAATTATACACAAGGGAAAATTAAATGAAACAATGCCAATAAAAGGGAGAGGTAGATGTAAGTGAACATATTTGTATTCATAGTAGAACTTTAACACAAAGTGCCTGTTAGCTAATAAAGCGCACACTTTAACATTGTTTTAATATACAATCTTTACAGTTCACTGCAGATGCAAATTGTGAATATGGAAGACAGCCACATTTCAAATGCTGTGGCGCTTTAAATGTTGGCAGTGTATTTTGTTGCTAAGTTTTGTCAACTGTCTCACTGTTCAAGTGTCTGTTCAATAAATTTTAATCCAGAATAAGCTAGAAACATCTCTGAAGTACCTTTAGACTGACAGCTTTGCCTTGATGTGCTTTGGTCGTTTTCCTTTAGATGCATACACTCTATACATCTAGAAAATACGTGCAGAAGTCTATATGTAATCACTATTATTACAACCATTATGGAAAAAGTTTGAGGAATAAAACATTTTAATATCGCAATAAATATCAGTTGCATTCTGGATATAGAATTTAGGGACTGCTGCAGCATCTTCCTATGCCCTCAAATTAGCAGGATTTAGGTAATGTGCATACAGATCTTGTACCTAAAGCTGCAGGTTTTCGGCAGGTGGCAGCCTTACCTCTGCGTCGGTACGATGTCAGAGTTGAGGGGTGTTGACTCCCAGGGAGAGGGAGAAAGAGAGCTGCGAGTAATGCCGGGTTAGTTTTGATGAAGTATATAATCCCGGTTTGTTAGTTGCAGGGGCTTTTCCAATGATAGCACTTTTTAGAATCTACCACTCCAGTTACCAGTTTTGATACTTTACCTTGATTAATGTCCTGTTGCAGGTTAGCTTTAGTGTAATCTGCTGTGGAGTTTATCCAATATTACTACTTTATACATATTCAGCAGTAATGTTGCTGTGGTTCTTACTGAGGGCTGGGATGCAGTTGTTTTAAAAACTTACAGCTGCAGGAAAACAAGGGTTAGTGACTCCCTGGAAAGCTTACAGTCTCACATCTCTTGCATTTTATTGGTTGAAGGGCTGTGGTCACAAGTTCTGTTTGCAAGTTATTGTTATTGGCAGTATTTTAGAGCATACTTATTTAACAGATAAAAAGATGTGTGTATATTACTGTTCTGTGTACTCCGGAGTTCCAAGACATTCTACATAGTAAAGTGTTATATCCAACAACTTTGATGTATTTATGATTGACAGCTGTGTTTGAACTCAGACGAATGTTGCTTAGACACCTAAAAGGGAACAATATGGAAGATAATGTAAACACGTGGAGATAAAAACAGATTTTAGTCTGAGCACCTTAAGTTGTGCTTGCAGTGTTTTGGCTTCTTTGCTCCACTTACGTGTCCATATATGGGTTAATATCATTGCAACTGGTAACATTATGATAGCTCATCAGGTGTTCAATGGTCATCATCCACAGCTTACTGTATTTTTTATCAAGGTTACCTTACCAAATTTTATGAATATTTTAAGACTGATGGACAGGATAAGAACTGTTGGAGGGGGTGAAGTGTTGGATGTGTCCATACATCCAGGGAGTTTCAGGAAGTATTGGAGAATTTTGTGTTTTGTATACCAGTAAACTCCAGAATTTCATGCATAGAAGTCCGTAAGTATCAACAGGAGGCAAAAGGAATCTATTAGGCCATTATTGCAGAATATGAGCAATACCTGGGCAAAGCCTTCAAAGTTAACACTTAATTCTTAGTTTAGTACTAGAAATATGGGATATAGAAGTGTAGAATCTGCCTCACAAACATACTGAAGTTTTGTCCAGGTTCACAGTTTGGAGTTTATTGTAATTTTAGTTATGTCTATTTTGTTGCAAATATAAACATATTTAAGCTCTTAAATTGCATATTCGGCTATTCAATATAGCTGCCCCATAGATTTTTTCAGTTACTGTTTACTTGCTTTAGAAAGCAGAGAGATAATTGCTTTTTTTTGTTGTGAGTAAAAGGATATTTTCCTGATGCTTAGGATGCAAACTTTTAAAAACTAGACTTAGCTTTGATGTAATTGTGTCTTTTCTATATTGCATTGCAGAGATGGTGAACTGAGCTTGAGTAGATCAATGATCAATAGCTCTGATAAGATAATTCGAAAGGGTGGCTCCTCAATCTTCCAGCATGGTATAGAAGGTTGGAAAATCAATTCGTCTTTGGTAATGGAAATAAGGTAAGTGTCTTAAGTAAAAATTGGTTAATTTCATATTGCCTACAGTTCTTTTCAGTCATATTGCTATAATTCCTCTGGTCTGGAAAACAGTGATTTGTTTTACAGTTGCAAGTGGATGTTTTATAACTGTACATATTTAGGTTTTGGTGTTAAATGCAACTGCATTACATTAGACTTTAAAGTCAAGACATCCTTCATAAGTATGAATAAAATATTTTCATCCGGCTGTGTCAGTCAGACCCATGCAATCTACAATATGCATGTCCACATTTGAGCTGGCTGTCTAGAACTCTTCTGCAATCAGTAATGAGAAACTGACAGTTTTAGGACATGATTCCACTCATCCTAAAGGTTAGAAATAGAACAGATGGAGTTTTCCTCCCTTAACTACAGAGGGAACCTAGGCAGACAACTTAGATGCCAGAGTCAAGATCTAGAGCATCAAATGCTGTGAATTCAACCCTGTCTATGTCTGGTCCACATTACAAGGTCAGACACTGACAATATCCATGTCTTGTGAAGTTGTCTTCCTAAAGTCAGAAGGGCAAGGGGGAGCCTTAGGCTTGTGCTAAAGGGACAGCACAGTAGCAGAGTTAAAGTGAGTGATAGTTCTGGTATGTCTTAGTGTTTACAGTGGGTCTATGCACCTTGGGGCCTCAGAGAAGAGAGAGCAGAAGCCTCTTAGTGTGTTGTGTTGTCGTTGTGTCTTCCCCATCTACGTCAGGAAGGGGGCCAGTGAAAGAAGCATATGGAGCATGGGTTGGCAGCATGGAGGACTAAGAGTGTTGCATTCTGTGAAAAATGAGAAAAAATAACCATTTTAACAACAGTCACATAGCAGACTAGGCTTGATTTTCTGAGTATTAAGATTTTGAATAGGAATTTGATCTAATTAAAATGTGGTTTCTGTGTGATTTCTCTACCTACTTGGGGTTTGTTTGTTTAGTTGGTGTGGGTTTTTTTCCTTTTTTAGTAAATTAAAGGGCAATGCCCTTAAATAAGCATTGTTTCCATGTACGAAAGCATGGCTTCTCTGAATGAGGAACTTGGATTTTTTGATGACTTTTATGTCCCTAATTCTAAAACATGCAGAAGATACAGGTTGCTCAGAAATGTATGGATCCTTAGCAAAGGATTGCTGTTCTGCAAATCTTGTGCTATTATGGACATAGTGCAGCTCTACTGCAAAAGCCAAGGAGTGGTATCAAGATGGAAAGGATAGCAGGATTTGGATAGTCAGCATATTAATACTCTGGAGGATGCAGTTGTCTCTCACCTGCCTGGCAAGTGCTCTGTGGGGTCCCCACTCCTTGACTGCTTAGGCTAAGGGACCCTTGGGCACTTGATTGTTTTCCAGGCACCTGGGTTTCCTATTGATGAAGACCCCATAGCTGCCCTAAAATGCAGCTGAGGTGCAGATATGGAAAGGAGTTTGTTACAGGACCATCTGTTCATACGCAGCCTGTTTGACCAGTGTGTGGTTGTTTCATGAAGTCCAAGTTCTGCTTGTTCCAAGATAGTCTAGGAAAGATAAGCAGATTGTCAATATCAGAAACAGTATTTAAAATTTGTATGCATGTAACTGACAATTTAAGTTGGAGAAATACTGAGTAATTTCAGAAGAATATTGTTGAAACTTTGTATCATAGGTTATGGTCTGACATTTGGGAGTAAACAGATTTTTTTCTTCACTTGCAAAGGAAGCTGATTGGGAAGTCATTGAGTGACTGTTAAGTGGAGAGAGATAACTATTCTTGTTGTGTTGAAAAATTGAGTGTCATATCTTAGAATCTTAAAACCAATATATCTTGCTGCTCAGGCCAAAGAGCTAACAAGTAAAAGTATTGCAATAACATTTTGATTGAAATAGAGGAAATGAAGCTTGGGTTATGCTCATTTTCCACCTGTTTCAAATGCAAAATACATCATTCAGTCAAAGAATTAAAACAGTAGAGAATACTTTAGATTTTTTTCAGCCTGTTAGTACATATGTATCATCTGTCTTCTAAAATCATTGGTTTAAACAGTAGAGGTTCCAGTGTATCATTGTAAGATTTTCTGTACAGTAGAGAGCATAGAGTTGAAGTTATTTAGATGTCCACATTGCCAGTCTTGTTTTGAGAGGAAGTAGCTACCATCATGAAGACTGGTAGCTGAGAGCATTTCTACTGAACCAGTGAAAGATTTTAGATTAATGTGACTTAGGGCCAAAAGTTGGCATGAAAGGAGCCCGTGCTACCAGCCAGTTTTAGTCTTTCAAGAAATCCTCTTTGCTAACCTGCATAGCATATTCAGTTATGGTACTCAGTGGTGAGAGGGACATTTCATATGCTTTTCCCTGAGGAAGCCACATGCAGCCCCTTGTGATTTGTGTTTCAATCTGATGCTGACTAAATGATGTGCATTCTTTCACTTTTACAGGTGGTTTGCTATACACCTTTCTTCCTGTCACAGCAGTAAGAAGCATTTTAGCTGTATATTTGCACTTACACACCTATCAAGACTAACTTCAAATGTGTCTAGCAAGTCCTAGAGTGTTCTTGTGGTTTAACTAACTGTTCAGCCCTCTAAAGTAAGTTGTATGCACTGTGTAGACCATGAAGATGATTCATACTCTATTATTGCCACTGTTAACGTGTATAGTGGTGGTCTTGTGGTGTGAGGTTGACCATAGAAAGTAACGGTAAGAGAGAAACAAAATACAAGTTAGTGCCTGTTGAATGATACATAAAAAGTTATAAGTTCTTAGCAGTGGATAAGTAATCTGTGAAACCATGAGTGTACAGCATAAAAATGTTTCATGAAATTTATAATCCCCCGTAAATGACAGTTACTTTTGTGTCTTGCACCAGTTTGGCATCCACATGAGCAACTTTAAAACATAGAAAGTATTTGATAGTGGGTTTTGCTTTGTGCAAGGAGTGTTGGTCAATAGTATGTCTGAACCTAGCTGGCTGGCATGAGGAATATTATGCTTTGCTATTTGCTTTCTTGACTGTGGGCATCATCACTGGCCATTTTATCTTTGCTCTGGTTGGCGACCAGCCTATCAGCTGCAAAGGTCTTAATGAATTCTTGGCAAGGCCAAGCTCAGATAGGAGTCAATGAGTGAGAAAGCTCCTTTATCAAGACCCCATGGAAGGATGGAAAGCTGCCACTGGGTTTCTGGAACTACAAGTAGCTCTCTGGGACTTTGCAGCCAGAAAAGGTAGTCTGGAGTGTAGCAGCACTCTCTGGAGGGCAGTAGCCCATTGGAGATACTAAGTAGGCATATGAAGAAAGAGCTAGACTTTCTGTGATTGAGGTGGAAATTTTGTGTATTAATAATTACTTGAGACTGTGGCAGATTTACTGCTTTGCCAATCATGATTCATCTAGCGGGAGAGTGATGTTTCCAACTGATAACTTCTGATTGCTGAAAACTTCTTTGAAGAATGATTGATAATTCCCATGGCTAAGGGAAGAAGACTACTTGCTTGGCTCTCTTTCTGTCTGAATGATTTCAGTCATGAAGAAGAGAATCCACCATCTGCTAAGGTTTTATATCTTAAGTCCTTTCTACTTGTATGGTAATGTGAAGGTTTTCCTTATGGTTATGGAAATAGGGAAACTTCGGTTGTTCTGAAGGCCATAGTTTCAGAGAGGAGAGATGTGCCTGAGATGGTACAAATCTATATGGGCAAGCCTTCCACACAGTGCTGACACCAGTACATCTGTGAGCTGTGTAAAATGAACTACAGTCTAATGTCTCAGTGTGTGACTTTCTTCTTTCATTTATTTTTGATTAAATATGTGCATTTATGTTGGAAGGAGCAGGTGAAGGTTTTGAATTGCAAGAAGGCAAAATTTAAAGAAAAAGATGCATGTTGCGGATGTATTTATCTCTGCAATGTATCAGAGAAAATTTCCTGTCAGAAGAGCATGAGAACTTGTAAGATGTTAACGGCTTCTAAAGAAATCCTCCTTAGAAAGGCTGAGGTTATTATTATTGTTTGTCTTTCAAGTTAGTGTGAAACAGCTGTGATAAGCCCCTGAAGTGCAAGCAGTAAATAGGGAACTGGCATTGGAACACTACAATTGCTCTGAAGCTTTTGGAGCAATATTTTGGAGCCTTTACAGTTTCTTTTCAGATCTTCTATGTGTCAAAGACATGCAACTTGGGGCCTTCTGTCTGATTTAGTCATAGTAAACCTTAGGGGATTTGTGCTTTCCTGTCTATCTTACTCTACCTTGCTTATCTTCATGAAAAGCTGGCATATGGCTGGTCATGCTGCAGCAAGCAGTAATTGAGTCATGCTGTATTTAAAAGCCCTCTTTCCCATTTGCATGCCCACTCTCCCTTGTTACAGTGCTTCTGTTTGTGTGGCCTCCTTTGGCTGAGGGCTGCCGGGAACCATTCCAAGGTTATTTACAGTTAGGTGTATTTCTAACAAATCCAAATCAGTGGTTGGACTAGACCTTTCAAGTCCCTTTCCAACCCAAACCATTCTGTGATTCTAAATGCTGCTTTACATGAAGAGGTTTTCTTAAAACTTCCTTTCAGTCAGACTAAAGTGAAACCAAACACAGGTGCAAACACTTGTGGTCCCCGCTGCCTCCTCAGGAAGCCAACAGGAGCTGGAACTGTAGCCATCTACAAGGGCAAGCTGTGACCTTTTGTTACCACAGAATTTGTTATTTTGTATTGTTTATTAAGCTAATATAGCTGGCAAAAACATGCGTCATCTAGGCCTTAGTCCTTGGTGATTTCAAAGGCTGAGAGCCACCTTCTGTCTTCCATCTGGGGAGCATGAAGCAGTGTAAGGACCTGCTGGGATTAGAAAATTATGTTGTTTATGAAGACCTATGTGAATCAGTCAGAGAAAGTCTGCAGGAGAGCAAGAGGGATTGGAAATGTACATGATCTGCCCAATTCAAAAGTACAAGTAAAAAAATAAGTTGAATGATTTCTTAGCCTCAGGTAAATGAAGAATATTGCCAAGAGTAAGGTGTAGTCTGTCCTCCACAGGCACAGTATAAGGAACAATAAGAGGCTTCAGTCGTTGTGGGAAAGGTCTGAGCTAGCATGAGGAATACCATGCGGCCAGTAAGGCTAGCGCTGACATAGGCTGCATAGGGAGTTTGCCAAGTCCCCACCATGAGAAGTTATTGGAAATATACTAAGTAAACAGGTGCTGGGGGACATGTAGATAAAGGCACATCTTCAGTGAGTGCAGAGAGGCTTAGGTAAACGTTTGGTCCATCTATGTTCCATAATGTGGTTGTTGGGGATCTAGCCCAGCTTCCTGGGCACTGAGGATGCACTTCAGGAGCTTCCTCTCATTGTTGGGGTCCAGACAAGTCCAGATGCCCCAGCAGAAATGATTTCTGGCACTGCCTTCCTCTAAAGGAATGATTTTCCCAAGAAAAGCATTGGAGGTCATATTTCAGTTTTCCTGAGAATGGCCAAAAATATAAATTTATTGGTAAACATAAAAGTCAAGTGTTTTAGTGATATCTTTTCTTTCCTTAATCCATACAGTTCTGAGGCAGATGAAGAATAGTTTGACATTATATAATAGTTTTATAGTACAAAGATGACAGTACAAAATAAAACTAGAAAAATGCGCGTAAGTAGAAAAATGTCACCGTGTTGCCCCAGAGCAATACGTAACTGTATTATTTGGAAAGCTGTTCAGGGACATTATTCTCTGTTACGTGAACTTTTTCAGATAACTGGGAGTTTTAGCTGGTACTTAAATGTTATGAACACCTACTTCTGGTTGTCAAAGAAAACCCTCTAGGTCAACCACAGATTGTGACATTGTGTTTTTGTGAGTCATGTAAACACGTTGCAAACAGCTGCTTGGCTTCAAATAAGGCTGAGCCACATCTGTCTCACCTGCCCACAAAATGGCTCAGGTCACACCCCAATATAGTTTAATTTATCGTAACAAAACTTGATGACCACCTCAAGTATAACTGTTTGTTTACACATTTTAGCTTAGTTTAGTTTTGGCTTTTTACTTAGTTGCAGAATACCTTTGCTTCAAGGTTTGCTAAAAATCCTGCTGTTTTTTGGTTGGTGGAGTTGAGCTTACTTTTGGGTTTTATATGCAGCTTGAAGGACTAGCACTTACTTGACATTATTTTGTCATGCCTGTTTAATCCGAATAAACTTGTGCTATATTTAGGGCTCTTTGTGGGACAGAACAGAGGGCTAAGTGAGTTTTTATTACTAACTAACATCAAGACTGACTGAGACACTCATGTATGTACATTCAGTTTTTGTCACATCCCTTAGAAATTTCAGTTCTCTTAAGTATGTGGTTGATTATCTGATTCTAATTCAGATCCAAGTGAAACCCTTTGGGGGACTTCTGTAAGCATATAGATAAATAAATTTTGAATTTTAACTAACCTAATTAGTATTGAAAGCCAGGGTGCTCTTAATTTTTGGCACTGTTTGCATAACTTCATGGTTTCCTCTTATTTTTTAAAATAATACATAGGATACTGTATTCATGCAGAAACATTGCTACTTGTTTGCTAACAGAAAGACTTTTAGACCCATTCATTCCAGGTAACAGGGATGGATGCATTGAATTACTAAAGCAAATCTTGTGATGATCACATGTGACTTTTTGTAGTCAGAACTTTAGGTTTCTGTACACTTCAGATCATTACTTTTGCTTTTTGAGAGTAATTTGTGGCCACCCCTTCTCAAGTCAGAGTGCACGTGAAATGAGTCTCTGGATAGCTTGGCTGATCCTGTTCATGCCTTTTGATGCATTCATCATATCCTTTACAGCCACAGCTACAGTAGCTGTTCCTATACAATGAATAATTTGAATAATTTTGAAGAGCTCTAGATTGGGCAATTACTTCTTTCTCGTTCTTTTTCATTTTTTAGCAATTTATGTACAATTAGCAATTTATGTATATGTATACCTAGCCTGGCCTTTCCAAAAACTACACTCAGGGTTTGAACGTTGTGTATCTTGCTGTTATTCTGAGTCCCTCATGTTCCTTAACACAAGTTGTCTTTGCTCTGATGCTACTTCGTTCATACATGACATCTAACCCAATGGCAGATAACCCAAGACATTCTAGACATTCTTCCCTGTCTCTCCCCCTGCCCCTTTTTGTATATTTTTTTTGGTACTAGTTTAAGAAATGGGAGGAAACACTTGAAAAATATTTTTATCATGTTTCACTTCCCCTATGGTTTTTAAGATCAGTTCTAGGTTGAGGGTTTTTTTTGTCATTGGTTGCATGATTCAGACATCTTCCTTCTTGAGGCACGAGAGCTGGCTGGTGAGCATGGATGTTTCCATAGTTATCCCTTTTACTTGTGGGAGATTATTCCCCTTTATGGCTCTGACTCTTACAGCTGCTGGAGTGGCATCTCTAGTTATCTGTTCCTGTTTTGATGTACTCTAAGGAACTTCTGCTCTAAAAACCTAGTATATGAAAATAATATTCTCTTACTCAACAAAATGTCTGTTCTGATTTAAATTCCACCTTAGCTACTGACAACAGTGGAAGTTAAAAAGACTTTGTTTTTCTTCATGTCTTGTTAGATTTGCGAAGGCAAAAGTTTCTATTAGAATTATCATGTACTGAAAACCCTGCCCCAGTTCATCACTTCCCATCTGTTCTGTAAGAGTATTGCGCTCGGGTTCAGATGTGATCTTATGCCTCTTCACAAGCATACATGCTTTGCAGAACAGTGGTGGACACAATCTTGTAAGGCGTTGCTCATTTGCAATCCTGAGCTTCCAGTGGTTCCTGCAGCTCTGTCTTGGAGTCCTTTCCAGTGTTTTATACCAAGTGTGTACTGAAAACTGCTTGACACTGCCAGTGCAGGTATTAGTCATTGCGTACAGGTCATTATGTTGCAGACATTAAATGTCTCTTTTGAATTTATGTATTGAAAGTGTGCCAGTTTTTGGACCCTGGTCCCTACCAGTCATGGGCAGAATGGAAGCCTTGGACAGAATGGAAGTTTGTTAGAGAAGCCCTCCCACTGAGTGGGAGATGCAGACTTACTTGCTTTCTAAACTCCTGCTCGGAGAGGAGCCTACGTATGGCTGGATCCAATCCTAGCCCCAGACTTGGTCAACTGTTTATATTTAAAGGATTGTATAGGTGCAATTGAACCTTCATACAACTATGACCTGCAGGATTAAGGATAGCAAACCAAATATATTTATGTTAATAGAATAAATGATTTATTGATAATGATTGGATGAAAAGATTTTGATCAGAATTCTTTGCTACACAGTATGGATAATTATAACTACTAGTATTGTGCAGTATGCATTGAAGCAACAATATTGAAGCCAGCAATATGATTGAGTAGAAATTGATGTTACTTACCCATACCAGTGACTGTGGGCAAGTTGCTTGCTCAGAGTCAAGGAGTGACCTTGAGGGGTCCCCACTCAAGAGAGCAATCTTTCCGCACGCTCCTAGAAGGGGTGTGTTAGAATTCCCAATCATTTTGAAGAGTGGCTGGGCTTTTATAGTACAAAGTGGTTGACTGTCAGTCAGGTGTCCCTGGACTGACTGTGTCAGCTTAGCAGCTTTAGATAGGTTATCAGGGCTATCACTTGGTTCCGTTATCAGGAACTTTGTCTGACACATCCTCACCAGTGCCAGTTTCTGTCAGTAAAGATTATCCTCCACATTCTTAGAATGTTTAACTGTGGGATTGGTGAGTCAGGCCAGTCTCAGCAGTCTTCAACACCAAAAATGGCATGACTCCCCCCTTCTGAATCTACCACTGATAACTTTTGCAAATAGAGTCAAGTTCAGGGTGTTCTACCCCCAGGTAGGCAGAGCATCCTAATGCACTAGCTCCATAAGCAGGTATGGTTACCATGATTTAACTCTTCAGGTGTCATAAAAGCATTCTTCACCAGTTACTTGCCGTGGGCTGGGACTATGCAGTTTTTTAATTGCCATAGTTCACTTGATATATGGTAGCTTATTCAATCCTCATATTTTGATGGTGTATCTCTGAACCTGTTTAATAGTTTAAGGAATTAATTGCAGAGAAGCATGATAAATGATTTAAAATGATAACTGTATTCATAAGTATTTTGAGGTTCAGCTAACAGTTTGACTATACCCTGAGCTGCACTATTTTATTTTGCATGTGTTTTGAGCTCTTTTTGTTTAAATTGGTACAAAAGACTCTGAGTGTACTCATTTCAAGTTAATTAGGGTAACTTTGGCTAAACCTCAGTTAATTAGGTGGAAGTTTATGCTAAACCGAATATGTTGCTCTTATGGTGAAATTAGAATCTATAAGAAAACATGGCCCTTCCTGAACCAAGGTGATTTGTAAGAGATGACATTTCCTAAATCATAAATACTTCATATATTTAACTGTGTTTCTATGAAAACAAGCTGCCATGGTCCTTTTTAAAAACGTGTTTTTTCCAGACTTTTGTGCAGATAGTCAAGAACAGTATGCTTTCTAATTTCTAAAGTTATCTTCCCTTGGTCTCTCAGTGCCTTTGTCTGTAGAAGTCATTAAGCTCTAATACTGTAGTACTTACATGTTATGTTGTAACCACGATCAGAACTTTGTCCTAACGGCTTTGCTCTAACTCCATCCTAGAGCATGAGAAATGACCTCACTGTGACTGACACTGTCCACCCTCTGCTTTATGTTGTATGCCTTGTACAATCTGTACTACTGTTAGATAAACTCCATTCAGTGAATGTTGAGTTTTATCTGTATGTTTTTCTGTCAATGCAGAAAGAACATTCTTCAATTCTTGGATGCTGAAAGAGATGTCTCAGTGGTCAAAAGCAGCTTCAAGCCAGGAGATGTAATTCATTATGTACTGGACAGACGTCGCACCCTAAATATTTCTCAGGATTTGCACAGCCTTCTCCCTGAAGTTTCCCCAATGAAGAATCGCCGTTTTAAAACCTGTGCAGTTGTTGGGAATTCTGGCATCCTTCTGAAGAGTGGTTGTGGGAAAGAGATTGATAGCCATGACTTTGTAATAAGGTAAGTTTTCACTGCTGTTGAACTTATGTCCTACTACATTTCTCATAGAAAATCTGGAAGAAATATTTTAATCATAGAATCATAGAAATTTAGGGGTTGGAATGGACCTTACAGATCATCTAGTCCAAATCCCGCCTGCCATGGGCAGGGACACCTCCTCACTAGATCAGATTGCTCAAGGCCTTATCCAGCCTGAGGCATCCACTACCTCCCTGGACAACCTGTTCCAGTGTCTCACCGCCATCGCAGTAAAAGCTTTTTCCTAGTATCTAGCCTAAATTTCCCCTCCTTCAATTGGAATCCATTACATCTTGTCCTTTCACTGCAGTTCCTAATAAGAGAGTCCCTTTCTGGCTCTCCTGTAGGCCCCCTTCAGATACTGAAAGACTACTATGAGGTCTCCATGCAAACTTCTCTTCTCCAGGCTGAGGTACCTATTACAGGCTTTGTCTGAAATTAATCTGAAACAGTATCCATCACTGTATGATTCCCTGAACTTAAATACATGCCCAGATTATTGACAAGAAAATTATTTTTACAGTGAAAATAAAACAAGGGCCAGAGGAGAGAGGTCTGTGCTACTTATTTTTGCTTTTTGCTGTTCTTATCCAGACAAAATAAATATTCTTATGGAGGCCTTGGTAGAATAAATGCACAATGTTTTCTCTTTCAAAAAAACTCTTTCTTAGCTCTTGGCTTGTTGTAAATTACTACATTACTTATGTGCAGCGTGGAGTAAAATTTCAGTGTGATGATGCTGAACTAGGCTGCCATTAAGGCAGTTGGAAGTCATGCATCTATGTTCGTTCACAGTGCTCTAAAAGCATATTCCTGCAGTTTTGGCAAAAAAATGTTGATGTGTTTCACTTTTTAGTCATTCTTCATACACGCACAATAGAGTACCTTTGGATTTCATATATCAATAGGGGAAAAAAGGGAATAGCTGACCTCATTTGACAGCTTGGCATTATATAGTTACAGACAATGTTCAGCAAGAGATAGGTCATTTTGCTTTTGAAGCAGAGGTTTCAATTGGTTTGATTTGAGAAGGGTGAAAAGGCAGAAAAGTAGCAACAGAAAACAATACAGAAATCGAAGTAATTGCTAGTTATTTGTTTTTTCTTCCCTCACCTTGAGGAAAGATGGTGGCAAAAAAAATCAGAAACACATGGAAAAGAAAAACTAGTTTATCGGTACATAAATCAAAGCCAAATATACCTGGGACTTGTACTTCATTTGAAAACTGTACTAGCAAGTTGCAACTGGAACAACGACACACCACTCTCAGATTCCTTACTTGTTTTACTTGTACCACTAGTCATTCAAATTGGTATCCTTACTACAGAAGGAATCAACAAATAATTACTACATTTTTAAACCATACTTAGTCTGTGGCATGCTTTTATACCCTCTCTGAAATTAAATGTGATTCATTTAACAGAACTACAGAAAAATGTAGATACCAGATTTTCTAGATGAAAATTTTCTTTCAGAAGGCGAGGCCCAGACTTCTTGTAAATCATGTGCTGAATTTCTTTGAAGTACTTCCCATGCTCTTCTACTTGTGTAAACTAGGCATGAAATTAAGTGCGGGTATCTGATTAGAGGTTGTAACTGATTCAAGCTATGTGGAAGAAAGATAATACTCAAGATTTAGTGAAGCTTAATAGGAATGTTGGGATGTTACTGTTGCTAATCAGTTATTTAGACTGGAGAAACATGGGTGTTCTGTGAGGATGGTGAGACACTGGTGCAGGTTGTACACAGAAGTTGTGCATGCCCCATCCCTGGAAGTGCCCAAGGCCAGCTTGGATGGGGCTTGGAGCAGCCTTGTCTAGTGCAAGGTGTCCCTGACTGTAGTGGGGGGGATTTAGAACTAGATGATCTTTAAGGTCCCTTTGAAAAATATTCTATGATACTTTTGAAATAAATACCAAACCATCCATTACCCCCCAAACTATTCTGATTCCATGAAACATCTCTTCTGTGGTATATGACAAGTAAAGTGATCAGTACAACAACTGTTTAGCCTGACAATATTGTAGTTAATAATCTATAGGACTCTGGGAGTAGCATCCTTGGCCCCTATAGGGAATTTTAATACAGTTATTTAAAAAAAAATATTTTTAATAGATCAGAGTAAAAATGTTTTAGAAATTAAAGTATCATCTCATATTTGCTTAAGTCTGAACACATAACATCTCCTTGAAATACATAGCCATTAATTTGCTTGCAATTCAAGCTAAAGAAATAAGCAAAACATTCTTCAGTTACATTTTCGTACATTCCTCTTGATATGAAAGCACATGGTGTAATTACGAAGTTCTGCTGTACTTCATGAGCACTCATGTCTACTGCTCTTAGGATTCTGGTATTTAAAGGTATCATGATTCTCTGTTAATCTTTTTGCTTTCAGCTGACCTCTTTAGAAGTAAAATGCCCTCATTCTGTTTGCCACCTAATGGTGTTCTGAAAAGGCATTACTGTATGCATCCAGGTGCATAGGCTGGTGAACAACATTTATGTAGAATCTTCTGATGCTAAGTGCATAAGTGTATGTGCTGTGACAAGTATGTCATACTATTTTGGTTAAGTACATTATCCAGTTGATTTTGCTACTATTCTATGGTGTTTTTTGAGTTCTGAAGGAAAAGCATGTCTTTGAGAGTTGTTTCTTAGAGCAGCAGTTTTATTGTTAGAACTAACACAAACAATACCATTAATTTAAAGATAAAACTCATTGTGAAGGTCTGTGAAGGTGAAGAGGACGCAACAGACATCCAACAGTCTCTGCAATACAATAAACTCATTATTTTATAAAGGTAGTGTGAAGATGTTAATAACAATGGATAAGTACCCAGAAGTTTCACAAGTTTGGTGGAGTCATGCCTATTTTGGCAGTAGAAAATATGGCCCATCTAGCTAAAAAGCAAAGCAAGGAGGCTTTTTGCTATTGAAAAGGCGAACAAGCCAAACTGTGCCAATTGTAAACTATTTCCTGTTTCCCATATTCCTTTCATTTTTGCCTCTCAGACCTTTATACCCTGTTAAGTGACTTTTGATCTGTGTGCCTCTGCTACTCTTGTGGTGGTGGGCTGAAGCATGCTGCATTTTGATGCTATATCCAGAGAGGGCCTGAAACATTCCAAAATCTCTAAGATTAAAAAGTGTGTCTTATTCCCACCACTGTCTGCACTTTCTCACGCCAAAATTCTCATGTCAGTACTGAATTGCATATTACAGAACAGATGAACTTGTTATAGTAAGTGGTGTATTTTTGAAATTCAGTAGATACACAGGAGTTCCTGAAAAATGCACCTGTGTTTTGGGTAAGTGTAAAATAACAGTAGTAAACATTGCAAAGTAATAACTTCAAGATTCCTGGAAGTACTTCTGGCAGCCAAAAAGTATTCAGTTCAGCTTTGGGTTCAGAACCTGAACAGTGGCAAAGTTCAGGATAAATTTTTTTTTGTTTGTTTCATTAATGTAATTCAGCATTCATGATGAGAAACATTTAAAACCAGAGGCCAAGTGTAGTTTTGGAGTTATATGTTAAAACCAACCAACAAACCAAACCTAGTAAATAATCTTCTGTTTTCTCTTCTGATGACATCACTTCTGGAAAAGTCCCTTGCATTTCAGTTGGACTATATGGAGAATGTGCCTGTTGAGTTAAGCTGTTTGAATAGTTTAGGGCTACTCTGACAAGGAGCAGCCACAAGACGATATTAAGTGCTTCTTCAGTGTCTAGTTTATATGTTAAAACTTTTCTTTTCCTGTTGGAGTTTTCTCCTGCTAACTCTGTCAGCCTTTTGACTTCCCTTTTTTAACTTGGCAATTCTTATTAGCCAAGTTGACGTGATAAAAATTGCAGTCTTTTTTTTTTTTAAGAGGGAAGAATATGTCCTTTTGTAGATGTCTTGGTTTGTCTTATGCATAGAGGAGGATAATCTGTTTTGACTCTCTCTAGCATATTCAGTTTTGTGGGCAATTGTGATATGCAGAGGCAAACATGATATGTGGTATGAGCAGAAGACAGTGTATATGGTCAGAAAGAAGAAAAGGACAGACCTAACCATACCATGGAGCTGTGGTTGCTTATTTCAGGAGAGCGATTTAAATTAATAGGAAGGAAATAGTAGTAGCTTCTTTCTTCTGTGTTTTTCCCTCAGCTGATAGGGAAAAATAATAACAAATTTGTCAGAATAAATATATTTAAAATATTAATTTACTTGTATCCTGGAATTTATATTTTTTAACTTTTATCAGCTTTTTTCCGTAATGTTTTTTAGTACACCTTGCTTGGACCATGACCATCATGCGAAGTAGAGCTAAATGCTTGGAGCCAGCAGATCTGTTGAAAGCAAATTTGCAAGTTTAACAGACTTACTTTAAAACATGAGTCTTCCCTTAAAAATAGCAGCTGAATGCATCATAACTAGCTCATTAGACCATTTTCAGATCTCAAATGTGGCAACTCTATTTTTGCCTTCTGTCTTGTGCTAAAAATTATTACATTTAAACATTAAATGAAAGCAGAAGAAAGCCATCATCTTCCAATGTTCTTGCTCAGTGATTTGCGTGTCTGGGAGCACTGGTGTAGCTGTTTAGTGTTTCCTGTCAATTAGTCATGGGTGATTTCCACCTCAGGAGACTCTTGGAAAAGGCTTGACTTTTTGTTACCACATTTTCTCATTTTGACTTCCCCTCATAATTTCTTCAGCAACATCCTACTTTTTATTTTTATTTTCTGTTTTTAAAGAAAGTTACTTCTGAAGTAGGTGAAATAGGAGAATATTTAAGGCCATAAGTGTAGAAGGCTCAGGAAATATCTGTAAGACTTCTATACACCAATATACATATGATCAAATATTCCAAAGAGGCTGCTTAAGTAAATAGGTGTCCTATGAGTATCCAAATATAGAGCACATAAATTCAGCGTGAAACTGTCTATAATTATCTTGAGATAAAAGGATAAAATTAATTTAAAGTTGCTTATG